CCGCATGGGGCCCAAGCAGTGAGGAGGAGGAGGAGGAAGATGGTAAGGAGGGCAAAGGGGGCAGCTCTTCTTCCAAACAACTCACAGTAACAACAGGAAGTGAGAGAAAACTACCCCTCTGAAGGGAAATTCTCTTCTGAAAATGTTATGTGTAAAAGGTGTCTCAACTGAAGCTTTCTCACCAATCCTTGTTTCCACAACAAGCCATCATTTTTTTCAAAATCCAATTCTCACATAGACAGTGAGGTGAGATCTTCTAAACAGAGGCACAGAAAGCAAAACAAGCACCACAGGGGTTTTAACCATTCCCTAGGCTATCCAAAGCTATAAAAATATATTTTCAACTGCAGTTACACTTAAAAATGCACTTGTTCAGACATACATATGAATTCAACTTCAGAACAAACCTACAGATACGTAGCCTAACTTGGGGCCTACCTGTAGTGAAAAGCTGTAGTGAAGTAATTTGTTCAGTTTAAAGAAATGATTATAAAGAGTTTTTAGAGGTGTGGTTTCAAGAGAGTGGTGGTGAATTGGCCCTAGCCCTACCAGATTTGTCCTGCTATAAATCAAAGAGTAACTAAAATCACTGCCACAAGTCATACCTTCCTCTTAGCTATGAATTCCTTACCTGTATAGAAACCACTTTGTGATATCTATTGTCAAGGTTCAAATGTAGGCGTTCAATACTTTTAGTTGACACCTTTTAAATTCTACAAGTTTCTTTGGAGACTATGATTTTGCACTGTTGGTGGCGCTTTTTTAGGTCTCTCAGGTAGACAGTAGCATGTAATGTGAATGCAAAGTGAGGTGTTGGGAAGGAGAACAACCAACAGATCAATTTACCCACTTTGTTTTCTCTGTGTAGTGTTTTGTTCTTCTGTTAACTTACCAGTTACAAAGGCAAGAAGTGAGAGAAATTACTCCTAGGAAGGGAAATTCACTCCTGAGTGTTATGGGGAAATAGTGCCACTGAAGCTTTCATCACCAATCCTTGTTTCCATAACAAGATACATCTTTTAAAATCCAATTGTCACAAGGACAAAAAATGAGAATGCACCTGTTCTGACTTACATACAAATTCAATTTAAGAACAAATCCTCACCAATCCTTGTTTCCACAACAAGCCATTTGGAACTTATCTTGGGTTTCTGTGAGTTTTCCAGGCTGTATGGCCATGTTCCAGAAGCATTCTGTCCTGTCGTTTTGCCCACATCTATGGCAGGCATCTTCAGAGGTTGTGAGGTCTGTTGGAAAATAGGGAAGTGAGGTTTATATATCTGGAATGTCCAGGGTGGGAGAAAGATCTGTTTGAGGCAAGTGTGAATGTTGCAATTGGCCACCTTGATTAACATTGAATGGTTTTGCAGCTTCAAAGCATGGCTGCTTCCTTCCTGGGGAAATCCTTTGTTGGGATCGTGTTTGCAACTTGGGAACTGCCTGCACGCTGTTTTGAGCCAAGACTATGATCAGAATGTGGTGGTTCCAGTAGGTTTTTTCTGGTGTCTTCTATAACATCTGAAGTACTCCATAGATGCCCCTGACCTTAAAACAGGCTAAGGATTTATCTTAGTTACTCTGTGACTGTAATATATGAAACTGACTTTTCACACGTTGAACTACAGTGCCTATCACATTCAACCATTGATCCTGCTGAGGTGGGCTGATGGGAGTTTGACTCCAGCAGCATCCTGGTACCGTTAATTTTATATTCCATACCTACACTTGATACACTTTGAAGAAGTGCTAGGCAGAAGCCTTACACAACTCACCCCACAAGAGGGCACTCTTTGGTTAATTTTTGACTCTCCTAGTCTGAGCATTTGAGGACTTAAGTCTATGAAAGCCCATGCTAGCGTCATTCTTTCAGACTCCAAAGTGCTACAAGATCCCTTCGCGTATTATTAAAGTATTGGAAGTACTCAGCTCTATTTTTTTTAAAAAAAGACATCAGCTCTCACGAGGTATAATGAATTTTAGTAAGCATGCCACCTCTAGGTACTGTTACATAAGCATCAGTATAATGTCTATAAATGTGAATTAATAACTGGCTGTTTGTGTACTGTTAAAATAAGTTTATGCAGTTGATTGCAGAGACTTGTTTATTATCTTTGTCATAAGAGTTGTGGAGTAGGGCCTATACTTTGATTTATAATCAGATTGCTCTTAGATGTTAACATTGTTCTTCAAGCAAATTAAAATATATAACACTGGTACTTGTATATGATAGAATCAGAGGTGGAAGAGTACAAGAGCCATCCTGTCCAACGATCTATCAGAACTTAGATGTACAGAGATCATTGCGCTGTGGATTTAGGGTAATTTCACTGGGGAACATGCAGAACTTCATGTCAAAAAGTTTTAGCTGGCATGTTAGAAACTGGGAACCTGCCTTATCTGCGAAATTGCTGCATCAGAAACCATACTTCTTGAATCATTACTACAAGCTAGCATGTTTTCATTTACCGGAAAGCAAAAATGCTCAAATTATTTGCTAATTTATGAAAATTAAACTTTTCTTATATAGGATTAGAGAATGTATATACTGACCTTCACTGTAGTGTGATTTGGTTCTTTTTACCATGCTGACTTCTTTTAAATTCTATTATGCTTCCTTGCTACAGTGGTTTTTAAAACAGTCCAGCTGCTATTTCCATCTTGCTTCTTATTTCCATTGTTAATAAAGCATCAGTTCTGTGAGACTTCCAAGATAGGCCATCACACCAAATTAATTGGGAGTTTGGTGGTGCAGGAAAAACAACTGTTTTGCCTTGGTTCTTCTTGGCAGTGCAAAATTTTGGATTTGCTGGAGAACTAGATGTAAACACTGAAAATATACTGGATATGCTTTGCTTTTTATCCTCTGTAGTCCTAGTTCCACTCTACCGATGTATATCTTCCTATCTTTCCTAACAGGAACAAATTACTCATTGTGAATAATTCTTGCAATATTCATCCTGCTGAATAAGAACACATTTCTTCACAGTTCCCAATTGCTGCTTATGTTTCAAGAAGTATAACAATTTTTATGCAGAAATCTATTTCTTATGCCTCAAACATGACTTCTACTCCAAAGAACACATGGTTTTTCCGTGCAGAAATGCAGGTTTTCTGCATAGAAATTTCTGCAACCTCCTTTGAAGAAACGTGTGGTTATTCAGTACATAAAACCCACCTCAGCACATAAAATACTTATATTTCCATTCTATGCTTTCTGATGTACAAAGAACCTCTCAGTAGCCCACCTCAGTAGATGGCGGTATTTCCAGTAGTGTTTCTTGAAGTGAAATGAATAGCAAACAAGCATGCTTTCCATCTTCACTCCACCGTGTTCCTGATGCTCCCAAGATCTTATCAGCATAAGGTTCAAATAATGGCAATTTCCTACTTTTTTTTTTTTTTTGCATCAGGAGCGACTTGAGAAATTTCCTACTAGTACCAGGGCATTGCCCTGCAAGCGTTTCCCCCTTGGCAGCATAGCAACTCTGTGTCTTTTGTATGTTTGTTTGTTTGTTTGTTCTGTCAAAAATGTAATACAACTGTTCGGTTGCCTGACACTATAAATAAATAAGCGTAGCACTGTGATAGCACATGGCAAGAGAACTGAGAAGCTGGTATAATTTGAGTATAGAAGTACAATGTGAACAACTTTCTAACAAGTATACATCAGTCTTCAGGTGAAGTTCTCAAAATCAATGGAGTTTCTGGAAATACTAAGTGCTTTAAAAAATTCCACCTATCTTGAGCTTACGTGAAATACTAAGTTACAGACATCAATCTGACAATATGGTTTTGATCTCTTCATGTGAGGGCAGTACAATTACGACATGAGTTGTAAGTTTTGCGGGCTGTATGGCCATGTTCCAGAAGCATTCCCTCCTGTTGTTTCGCCTGCATCTATAGCAGGCATCCTCAGACCTCACAACCTCTGGGGATGCCTGCCATAGATGCAGGTGAAACAGGATAGAATGTTTCTGGAACATGGCCATATAGCCCAAAAAACTTAGAACAACCGAGTGATTCCGGCCATGAAAATCTTCGACAATAAATTCAATCATAGTTATACCATTACATCAAATGAGAGATAACTCAGGATCAACTTAATATTTATTACATTTTTCGAATGTAGTCTTCAATTTCAGATACTATTTCTGAAAGGGATTTTTCCAAATTAATAGTGATAAAGTTCTCTGGTGGGGATGGAGGTTCAAGGGTGTCAAACTGTGACTGTAGGAGACTAAGGGGCATGAAGTGTCCCTTCCTTTTTCTTAGACGGCCTGCAATTAAGTCAATCGATCCATGCAGATGGACAAAGAGGATCTTTAATGATTCAGGGCCCCCTTGGTTCTCTTGCTGATCACTCTCACAGCCGGTCTTTCCATTTTCCAAAATTTGCCTGTACATTTTCTTTAGAGCCGAGCAGGCTAAAATTGCATTTTCTCCACATGTATGAGCCCTATAAAAAAAGGAACAAAAGTGAGTACCCACAAATCTTTGTTGATTCTCATATTTTTGAGTCTTCTTTGTGGAGAGAAAAAAGCAGGACATACATAAACATAAAATCATAGAGAAAAGAACACATGAGCTATCTAGTCCAATCCCCTGCCATGTAAGAAAATTACAATCAAAATACCCCTGACATATGGCCATCCAGTATCTGTTTAAAAGCTTCCAAAGAAGGAGCTTCCACCAAACTCTGAGGTAGTGAGTTCCACTGCTGAACACCTGTTACAGTCAAGAAGTTCTTCCTAATGTTCAGTTGGAATCTCCTTTCCTGTAATTTGAACCCATTTCAAATATTTATACATGGCTATCAGGTCTCTCAACCTTCTCTTCTGCAGACTAAACACCTCCAGCTTTTTAAGATGCTCCTCATGGGCATGGTCTCCAGACCTTTGATCATTTTAGTTGGCCTTCTCTGAACACCTCCCAGCTTGTCAATATCCCTCTTGAACTGTGGTGCCCAGAATGGGACACAGTACTCCAGGTGAGGTGTAACCAAAGCAGAATAGAAAGGCAACACAACTTCCCTTGTTCTAGACCAGTGGTTCTCAATCTGTGGGTCCCCACGTGTTTTGGCCTACAACTCCCAGAAATCCCAGCCAGTTTTCCAGCTGTTAGGATTTCTGGGAGTTGAAGGCCAAAACATCTGGGGACCGACAGGTTGGGAACCACCGATCTAGATGTTATACTCTTTTTGATGCAGCCCACACTCCCATTGGCTTTGTTAGCTGCTGTGTCACATTGTTGGTTCATGTTCAACTTGTCCATTATGACTTTTTCACATGGACTGTTGAGCCAGGCGTCACTCTTTCTGTATCTTTGCATTTCATTTTTTTTTCTGCCTAAGTGTAGTATCTTACATTTCTACTGGATGAAAATCATTTTGTTAGTTTTGGTCCAGCTCTCTAATCAGTTGAGGTCATTATTAATTGTGATCCAGAAAGTTACTGAAAAGGGCTATAATTCAATGTTCGTGCTATGATTTCAGAGGTACAGTTAGCCCTCCATATCTACAGGAACTGGTTCTGCATTTCCCAACATATACACTTCCCCCACTCTTCAAATTCTCTCATTTCTTAAGAAATATACAGGAAATTCTCATTTATCTGTTGGGTTAGGGACTGGAACACTGTTGGAATTGGCTGAGAACTGGAACCTAGATTATTTTAGCTTGCAATTGCATTTTGGCGGCTGAAAAATATAAACACACTACATATCAGTTTTGAATGTGTGATAAAGGTAATGGAGCTCTTGCACACATTCAAAAGCAATTCGAGGAGAGGTCTGCTTCTGTAGGCAAGACTAAGGACCACACACAAGCAGGCATGCAGTCCCAAGCGAATCTGAACTTTATAGGCAAGAAGACCCCTCATCAACTGAATGACACTTGACTATAATATGCAAATTCTGAAAGAATGAGTCATCAGAGAGTGAGGTGTCAAAAGATGGGGGACAGCCTTATACGTTATAGATCACTGATGAATGACTGCATAAAAATGAGTAACTTAATCAAGCATGGAGGCTTCTCATTCAGCTGCTTGCAAATCCTCTAAGTATATGCAGAACATTTTTTTTTTGCTCAAATGAATTGCTGCATCCTTTTTGCCTTTCCCTCTCAGCCAAAAAGTCTGCAAATATCTGTGGCTGGATAAAGTATTTGTATGCAGGAGTTTGGGAACCCCAGATTCAGTCTTCAGCATCTTCAGTTTCAATTACAGAGGCCCCTTCTACACTGCCATGTAATCCAGATTATCAAAATAGATAATCCATATTATCTGCTTTGAATTGCATTATATGAATCTACACTGCCATATAATCCAATTCAAATCAGATAATCTGTATTTTATATGGGATTGTAGGGAAGGTCTGAGTATTTAACAAACTCAATATTTTCTGTGTCCATCTTACCTTGACTGTATAATACAAAGAGGGTGGATGTAAAGATTTAAAAGAAGTCACTAACAGGCAGAATGCAGGTAGGGAGAAAGAGCGATAGTGGTGCCAAGACTGAAAGAAATTGGTAGGGTAGCTTCTGCCCACAAAATCACAAGTCGAATACATCTAGGACTGTGTGATGTATTTTCGAATGATGCGTGCAGATCGAAGTAAGGTGGCCTTTTGCAGTTGACAGGTCTTTTGTCAATATTTATTGTTTCCAAATGCCGCATAGCACCCAGTGTGCCGATGACCACTGGGACCACCTGTACTGGTTTATGCCAGAGCCTTTGCAATGGGTTAGGTGCTCTTGGTTCCACTCCTCAGCTGAGACCTCTCTGGCTTGGTTGGACCTGCTGGTAGTTACACTACCGCCAGCACAGCTCTCAGCATCCTTGGAGCAGTTAAGCCCCCCACCACGACAAGGTGGCACCCATTGGGGGGATTATTATTATTGAATTGTTGTAGGTTTTTCCGGGCTATATGGCCATGTTCTAGAGGCATTTTCTCCTGACGTTTCGCCTGCATTTATGGCAAGCACCCTCAGAGGTAGTGAGGTTGTTGGAAGTAGGAAAATGGGTTTATATATCTGTGGAATGACCAGGGTGGGACAAAGGACTTTTGTCTGCTGGAGCTAGGTGTGAATGTTTCAATTGACCACCTTGATTAGCATTTAATGGCTTGGAAGTGCCTGGGGGGAATCCTTTGTTGAGAGTGATTTGATGTGCCTGATTGTTTACTCTCTGTTGTTTTGCTGTTGTAATTTTTGAGTTTTTTAATACTGGTAGCCAGATTTTGTTCATTTCTTCCTTTCTGTTGAAATTGTCCACATGCTTGTGGATTTCAGTCAACCCAGTGATTCCGGCAATGAAAGCCTTCGACAATACATTATTATTATTATTGTTATTATTATTATTATTATTATTATTATTATTATTATTATCATTATTATTATTATTATTTCTTTTGCTCAGAACTAGGTTCTAGAAAGCTCTTTCTGCCTCTCCTTTTATTTCATTAATTGACAGCCCCTATTCTTTGAAGCATGTCTTCCAATTCTAGTACTTCTTAAGCAGGCCTTTCTATTTTACTGAATCTGACAGGGAGAGGCACCCATCCTAATGTGTTCCAATTACCTAATAATATTTATTTAACTTCAGCTTTAATTGGGGGGGGGGATCTAGTAAGTAGGTGAAGTTGCTAGAAAAAGGCAATGAATTAATACTAGTCAATTAATTCTATTCTCTTACCTTTTTAATATATCATGAAGGCAGCAAAGCCATGGGATCCTGTCCTAAAAACAAGAGAGACTAGATTAAGTGAAGGGTTTAATTTCCCTTGAAATAACTCAGCATTTGTCAGGCCTACTTACAATTGCTGCCACAAGTACATCATAGCAGGCTTTGCTATCATAAATCTTCTTTCTCATAGCCTCATTTGCTTTGGTCTTGCCACTGAGGAAACAATTTCTAACTGCGACTTCACTTGGCTCAAATGTGTGTGGCAACTACAATCAGCATGATTGATCAGCTTCCCAACATAATTCAATTTAAGCTTTACACCACCTCCAGATTTCTTCGTAATTGATTATCGTTAAAACCCCACCTTTTCATCTATTCTAAACCATGTTAGAGAAGTTTAATAAAAACTCTTTGGAAAGCTGCTGCATTAGTAAAGAAGATGGAAAACTTCATTCATATCACCAGTAAGCAAGAAATCTTCATAAGCTATCATGGGATAAAGCTGTTCACACTGTGTTGAAAAAGTTTGCATTGGGTGGCAAGACCAGAAAACACAGCAAAGAAAGAAGTGTATGAGCCCTGATCAAGAAAGGTGTTAATTCAATAAACAACAACTGTAAAATCCACTCCCGCTCTAACAATCAAGCAGAACAAGCAATTCCAGGACATGACACTTATAAATACATGGGATTATGGGAAGCCAGCAGGAAAAATGACAAAATTGTGACTCTAAAAATAATTTCTGTACAATGTCATTAAATTACTTAAAAAAAAACAACAAAAGACTAAGCTGAGTGTTCAATTCTGCGTTCAGTAACGTAATTCAAAGAATTCACTGTCCTTTGGAGCATGTGAAGTACCTGATCATTTAAAGGTATTCCTTCTGCCATTTTCTTTTTATTCTCATCTGGATGATAGTCATCACCTTCATAGAACTTCCATCCTAACTAAATAGGAATGATAACCGTTGAACATTTTAGCATAAAGCAAAATACATAACAAATGCAAATCATTACAGAATTCAAATATCACAAAATGAGTCATCTATTTGTTTACTTATTTATTTACTATATTTATACCCCACTCTTCTCACCCCGAAGGAGACTCATGAGTTACGTGTGATACATTCCCCACAGATTTAAGTTCTGAAATTACAGGAAAGAATAATTATGTAAGATCTATTTTTTCTCATCAAAGCAACTTTTAATGCATTGGTTTAATATTTTTTGACATGGAGAGAAGATAAAATGCTATAGTCTGTATCTTGGAAAAAATAGTAAAAAAATAGCAACGGCAGGTTTTTTTTGGCAGCTGTATCTGCATAAGAGGGATGGTTGAAAGATCAAATGTATTTGTAAAAGCCATAACAGCATTATGAATGGTTGGTCACTGGCATTCCAACAAACCCCATTTACACGCTGCAGAGCAGTCACATAAGTAGTTCTGTCCCACATCTAGAGCCCACAATCCCATTAGCTTTCAGCATGCAGCTGTTACGCTGTTTACTTATCGAACTGACAATAAATGGCAAGAGGGGAACAAAGAACTCAAAAAATATACCCAGTGTACCTTGTCTGCCAGATGTGAGCCCACAGTAGATCTGTAAAACAGAATGGAAAAAATAACATTTACTTTTTGAGAAGAAACAGGTGTTGAAAGAAAAAGCTTAGAATGAAGTAGTTATCACCAATTTTCTGTGATTATGTCTGTAACCTGCCCAAATGAAAATATCTTCTGTGAAGCCAATCACCTGTTCACAGGAGCGACAGCATGATAACAATGTTGTTAACAGATAGCCCCTCTTCATTACAGCTGTTAGAAAAGTACATTTGCCTCCTGGGGCATTTGCCTCATGCTGCCTAAGGGTAGTCCTGACCTTGGTTTGAACACAACCATTACACTAAGAAAAGATGTCCGAAAGACATGTGCCTTTCTGATAACATATTCCAATATCTTTAAAAAGTTGCTTCCTCACTAGAACCAGGAAGCAACTTGTTTTATTGTTTTTTTGATAACTAGTTACATTTTGCAGAAATTACCTGGAATTGAATCACACTTCTTTATGTTAGCAGTCATGGCTACAATTTTATTTTGAGTAGAAACAAAAACGGGCTGACAGTTCCATGTTTTTCTGTGTGTGCTCCCTGTCTCTGTGCATGAGTCTGTGCATGCATTTGCATGTCTTTACATGCTCTGGCTCAGTCTCAGCAATAGGAGGGGCAACATGTATGTCTATCTTATGCTGCAGCCAGGAAATAATTACGTAGGTAATATTTGCACTTTTCTAAGGATATCCAATATGCGATATCTGAATTGACCACTTGGGTGAGCCACAGAACATTTGCTAATGGCACAGTAACAAAGCAAACTGTTAGGAAGAACATGTAGGATTGTTCATTGAGTGTTGGAAGTTGATTCTGGAAACCAGAATTCAAATCCTCACTTTTCTATGAGACCCACTGGGTTTATTTATTTATTTATTGTGTCAGAAGCAAATTGGGAATGCAGTTATAATGTAAAGAAAAACCACAAAGTTAAAAACTTGGCATAATACTAAATTTTCTTTGACCAGAAGCTGGCCACTTGGGAGTGTCTCTGGTGTCGCTGTAAGAAGGTCTTCCATTGTGCATCTGGCAGGGCTCAGGCTGCATTGTAGTAAGTGGCCTGTGGTTTGCTCGTATCCGCACTCACATGTCGCGGACTCCACTTTGTAGACCCATTTCTTAAGGTTAGCTCTGCATCTTGTGGTGCCAAAGCACAGTCTGTTAGTACCTTTCAAGTTGCCCAGTCTTCTGTGTGCCAGGGAGAAGTTTCTCATCTGTTATCAGTCACTGATTGCGGGTCTTTTGGTAAATCACACTCTCTTAATCCCAAAGGAAGGCAATGACAATGTTGTGTTTCAACTTTCAGTGCTTTTAGTGACTGAAGCAAGTAACAATTCCTTGCAAGGTTATGCTGTTTCCCATGGAGCCCTGTGATTTCTACAATTCTTTGAAAAATACACTTGCTTTCAAGAGATCTCTTGAAAGCAAGAGATCTCTTGCTTTCAAGAGATCCTGAAACAAACAGCAATTACCATATATACTCAAGTATAAGCCGACCCGAATATAAGCTGAGGCACCTAATTTTATCACAAAAAACTGGGAAAATGTATTGACTCGAGTATAAGCCGAGGGTGGGAAATGCATCCACTATGGGTCAATTTCAAAATAAAAATAGATCACAATAAAATTACATTAATTGAGGCATCAATAGGCTAAATGTTTCTGAATATTTACATAAAACTATAATTTAAGATAAGACTGTCCAACTCTTATTAAATCGTTATTCTAACCTCCTTCAATGTAAATGTACTTATTATTAAAATGATAAATATAATAAAAATAATAAAGTAAAATAATGAAAATGCAATAAGAACAGTAGTAATAGAGTAAAATAAATATAGTAATAATAGGGTAAAATACTGTAAATGTAATAATAATAATAATAGTAATAGTAATAAATAGATAAATGTAATAATAATAGGGTAAAATAATAGAATAATAATAGAGCAAAATAATTAAATATAATAATAATAGTGTAAAATAATAAATGCAATAAAATAATACTAATAACAGAGTAAAAGAATAAATAACCTTGACTTGTTTATAAGCCGAGGAGAACTTTTTCAGCCTAAAAAAGGGGCTGAAAAACTAGGTTCATACTCTAGTACATACAGTATGTACATTTATTGAATAATCCCTATATAATATTGATCAACACTTCTTTGAAAAAAAACCCCTAACATGCAATTTAAAAATAACAATTATGTCAACAAGTCATATTAAAAAGATACATTGTCTCTTCCAAAGTAATAGTGGGTAACAGTTAATCAGATTAGTTTTGACACTCCCATGTGGGAGTTGAACACACACATAGGTTTCTTCATGCAACATAGAATTATGTTTTCATATCAGATAAACCCCAACAATACTGGGAACTAAAAGAAAACTGGTTGAACTGCATTCATCAAAAATACACAGGTGTATAAATTCATTTGGTTGCATCTCTGCATCCAGGGTAGCAGTAACTATTACTCTCTAAACCACACATTTTTCAGGTTATTTCTAAATATTTAGGGGGCATCTACACTGTAGAATGAATGCATTTTGACACCATTTCAGGCCCCTTCTACAATGCCTTATAATCCAGATTATCAAAGCAGATAATCCACATTATCTGTTTTGAACTGGATTATGAGTCTACACTGCCACAAAATCCAGTTCAAAGCAGATAATCTGGATTTTATATGGTAGTGTAGAAGGGGCCTCAATGTTGTGGAATTGTGAGATTTGTAGTTTGGCAAAGCATCAGTTTCACAAGAAAAGAGACCTTGGGAAACTACTACTCCCAAKGCACCATAGTACTGAGCCAGGGCGGTTTGAGGGTCCAAACTCATTCTACAATCTGGGCCCTTTCTACRCTGCCATATAATCCAGATTATCAAAGAAGATAATCTACATCGTCTGCTTTGAGCTGGATTATATAAGTGTACAGCCTCTTCCACACAGCTAAATAAAATCCCACATTTTCTGCTTTGAACTGGAATATATGGCAGTGTGGACTCAGATAACTGGGGGCCCTTCCACACAGCCATATAACCCWGAATATCAAYGCAGATAATCCACAGTATCTGCTTTGAATGGGTTGATTCCACACTTCCATATATTCCAGTTCAAAGCAGATATTATGGGTTATTCTGCCTTGATATTTTGGGTTATATGGCTCTGTGGGAGGGCCCTACATTGCCATATAATCAAGCTCAAATCAGATAATCTGTATTTTATATGGCAGTGTGGAAGGRGCCCTAGATGCAACCTATGAGCCCTTCCACACAGCCCTATATCCTGTAATATCAATGCAGGAAATCCCACATTATATGAGTCTAGACTCAGATAACCCAGTTCAAAGCAGATATTGTGGAATTTTCTGCCTTGATATTCTGGGATATAGGGCTGTGTGGAAGGGCCCTTCGTCTACTGACCTGTGATGCTGTCACAAGCTAAAATAAATAACAGGTTGTGTTATATTGTGCTAAAAGAACTGCAGGAACACCTAGTTTCAGCATAGATACCCATTCATTAACCAATTAAAACATTCCAGTATCTAAGAAAAGAGTATGTGGTGATTATAAGCTATCATTTGACTAAATAATGTTCTTTCATTTATCAGAACTGGTTTGCTCTGATTGCTTCAGGAGAAAAAAGCAGCCTGAGCTCCACAACTGTGAGGAAACCTTGAAACTATGGGCCCTTCCACATAGCCCTATATCCCAGAATATCAAGGCGAAACCCTCAAATTATATGAGTTTGGACTCAGATAACCCAGTTCAAAGCAGATATTGTGCGATTTTCCGCTTTGATATTCTGGGATAAAGGGCTGTATGGAAGGGCCCTATGAGAGGTCCTTGGTCAGGCATGGGCAAACCTAGGCCCTCCAGGTGTTTTGGACTTCAACTCCCACAATTCCTAACAGCCAAAAGTCCAAAACACCTGGAGGGCCCAGGTTCGCCCATGCCTGATGCATCCCAAAAGGTGTCTGAAGGGAGATAGAGAGGGCTGTGGAAGATGTGGCTGTGGGCCTTTCCACACAGCCATGGAACCCAGGCAGTATCAGCTTTGAACTGGGTTATCTGAGTCCACACTGTCATATATTCGAAGCAGAAAATGTGGGATTTGAGTCAGCTGTGTGAAAGAGGCTTGGGATAATGTGCCCAGGAAGTTTCACAAATGCAAAACGGAGACTGGCAAAGTCCTAAAAGGCTTCACCCAGGACTGAGGGCCCTTCCACACAGCCCTACATCCTAGAATATCAAGGCAGAAAAACCCACAATATCTGCTTTGAACTGGATTATCTGAGTCCGCTGCCTTGATATTCTGGGATATACTTACTTACTAAGGTGATCCCTCGTTGTCCAAGTAGGATAGTATTCAAAGATCTAGTGGATCCGTAGGTGACTGTGGAGCCCTATTTTTGATCTGCATCTTCTCCTGCAGCGAGGGCATTAGTTTCCAGGTGGAAGGCGGTCTAGTTTCCAGATGGAAGGCAGTCTCAGTGGAGGTTGGCTTTACACGCCTTCCTCTTGGCACTTTTCTCTTTCACCTTCCATTCTTGCCTCTTTCAAATTCTACAGCATTGCTGGTCACAGCTGACCTCCAGCTGGAGCACTCAAGGGCCAGGGCTTCCCAGTTCTCAGTGTCTATGCCAGAGTTTTTAAGGTTGGCTTTGAACCCATCTGGGATATAGGGCTATGTGGAAGGCCTTGGTGAGGCATGGGCAAACCTGGGCCCTCCAGGTGTTTTGGACTTCAACTCCCCCAATTCCTAACAGCCGGAAGGCTGTTAGGAATTGTGGGAGTTGAAGTACAAAACTCCTGGAGGGCCCAGGTTTGCCCATGCCTGATGTATCCCAAAAGGTGTCTGAAGGGAGATAGAGAGGGATGTGGAAGATGTGGCTGTGGGCCTTTCCACGCAGCCATAGAACCCAGGCAGAAAATCGCACAATTATCAGCTTTGAATTGGATTATCTGAGTCCACACTGCCATATATTCGAAGCAGAAAATGTGGGATTTGAGTCAGCTGTGTGGATAAGGCGCCCAGAAAGTTTCACAATTGCAAAGTGGAGGCTGGCACACAAAGGCTTCACCCAGGACTGAGGCCCCTTCCACACAGCCCTATATCCCAGAATATCAAGGCAGAAAACCCCACAATCTCTGCTTTGAACTGGGTTATCTGACTCCACTGCCTTGATATTCTGGGATATAGGGCTGTGTGGAAGGGCCCTGAGAAGGAAAATCAATGGGGTGAGGCCTTGCGTGGCTTCTCTGTGGATTTAAAGAGGCAGGGAGAGTCCCCAGCAGACAATAACAAAGGCAGGCTGCTCTTCCGCCTGGCCTGGGCGACGCAAAATATCCCCTCTCGTCCCCAAGCGGAGGCGGCACTGCTACTTACTTCCCGGACCCGCTGACTCCCATGACCACCAGGAGGTGAGGCGCCCCCTCTAGGGCCGGAGGCCCTCTCTGTGCTGCTGCTGCTTCTTCGGCCATGAGCTTCTCTTTCTGCCCTGAACTCGCTCGGCAGGACCGTCCTCTTGCTTTGGGAGAAACTGCCAAACAGAGGCCAAGGTCCGCCCTGCTTTAGATGAGGAAACCAGGCTTGGGAAAGCTCCCAAGGGCGAGGAATGCCGATTGACACCTCTGCAGATCTCTCAATGCAATGCCATGGCAGCCTGGGATTTGTAGTTTCAGGGTTGGGGGGGGGAACACTCTGTGGAACTACAGCTCCCATTCTTCCATAGCACCGAGCCCTGGCAAGGGAAGTGGGATCAAACGGCATCCATTAATTCTGCACATGCACCCCCAGGCCCCACCTACCCTGCAATATACAATCCAGATTGTCTGCTTTGAAACTGGATTACAAAACAGTGTAGACGAGGGGCAGCATTTGCAGTATAGTTGATTTTGCCCAGGGGCGCTCTTGAGGCGCTCTTGGGGGAAAATACACCTTGACATATGCGAGTTGTAGTTACTGGGATGTATAGTTCACCTACAATCAAAGAGCATTCTGAACTCCACCAATGATGGAATTGAACCAAATATGGCACACAGAACTCCCACGACGAACAGAAAATATGTATCAGTGATTGGTTGGGGGGGGGGGGGCAAAATACTGTTTGCTTACCGTTGAAAATTCTGGAGAAATTACACTGCTTAGCCGGTATTGCACCACCTGACATCTGACGGGAAGTAGCAGCCAATAGTGAAAGGACCAAGGCAACATCTCCAGCTCATCCCCTGTTTGGGTATCAGCCAGCACGTCAACGACTTAAATCAAGAAATAGTTTTCTAAGATCTACAGAGACACTCGCTGGAACACCTCAGCAAGCGAGAGGCCAAAAGTGGCAGGCTCAAACCCAGAACCTCAACCAATGGCTGATACCAAATGAGAGACTCCCCCCTGGGCACACAGAAGACTGGGCGACTTGGAAGGCACTGAACAGACTGTGCTCTGGCACCAGGGGCGGCTGAACCCGTTACGCAAAGTAGGCATTCGCAGTATAGTTGATTTTGCCCAGGGGCGCTCTTGAGGCACTCTTGGGGAAAAATAGACCTTGACATATGCGAGTTGTAGTTACTGGGATGTATAGTTCACCTACAATCAAAGAGCATTCTGAACTCCACCAATGATGGAATTGAACCAAATATGGCACACAGAACTCCCATGACAACAGAAAATATATATCAGTAATTGGTTGGGGGGGGGGGGGCAAAATACTGTTTGCTTACCGTTGAAAATTACTTGGAACAGACTGCTCTGGCACCACGAGATGCAGAGCCAACCTTAAGAAATGGGGCTACAAAGTGGAATCCACGACATGCGAGTGTGGAGAAGAGCAAACCACTGACCACCTGCTACAATGCAACCTGAGCCCTGCCACATGCACAAGGGAGGACCTCCTTGCGGCAACACCAGAGGCACTCCAAGTGGCCAGACACTGGTCAAAGGACAGTTAATCAGCTACCAAGTTTGCAAAATTTTGTCTGTTTGTTTGTTTTGTTCTGTTAGAAATGTAATACAATTGTCTGGTTGCCCCTGACACGATAAATAAAATAAATCCAGTTCAAAGCAGATAAAATGGATTTTATATTACAGGGTAGATGGAGCCTGGGGGTGCATATGCAGAATTAATGGATGCAGTTAGATCCCACTTTCTTTGCCAGGGCTCAGTGCTATGGAAGAATGGGAGCTGTAGTTCCATAAAGATGGCTCCCCCCCCCCAAAAAAAAAAAAAACCTACAAATCCCAGGCTGCCATGGCATTGCATTGAGCCATCTGAAGAGGTGTCAGTCTGCATTTCCCGCCCTTGGGAGCTTTCCCAAGCCTGGTTTCCTCATCTAAAGCAGGGCAGACTTTGGCCTCTGTTTGACAGAAAGGGCCTCAGGTCCCTTTCACTCTGCACCTATATCTCAGGATCGGATCCCAGATTATCTGTTTTCCCAGATTATCTGGCAGTGGAGACTCAAATAATCCAGTTTAAATCAGATAATCTGAGGCCCCCTTCCACACAGTTGAATAAAATCCCACATTATCTGCTTTGAACTGGAATATATGGCAGTGTGGACTCAGATAACCCATTCCAAAGCAGATATTGTGGGATTTTCTGCCTTGATATTCTGGGTTATATAGCTGTGTGGAAGCGTCTTTGGATCAGATACTGGGATATAGGACAATGTAGAAGGGGACTTAGTCAAGGCCCTTCCACACAGCCACATTACCCAGAATATCAAGGCAGAAAATCCACAATATTTGTTTTGAATTGGATTATCTGAGTCCACACTGCCATATAATCCAGTTCAATGTGCATTTTATCCAACTGTTTGGAAGGCTCCCCAATCTACTTTTAACTGGGTTATCTGAGTCCACACTGCCATATATTCCAGTTCAAAGCAGGTAATGTGGGATTTTATTCAGCTGTGTGGAAGGGGGCTTGTTTATCCAAGTCCAAACTGCCATATAACCCAGTTCAATGTGGATTTTATACAGCTGTGTCAAAGTGAGTTTAGGGCTTAGTTTTTCAGTTGACCTGGGTTGCTTCTACACTATGGAATTAATGCAGTTTGATACCACTTGGCTCAATCGAATCCTGGAAGTCACAGTTTTATAAGGTATTTGGCTTTCTCCATCCAAGAAACCAGGGTTCAATAGCATAGAAGCCTCCTGGATGACCTTGGGAAGTCACACTCTCTCAGCCTCTGGCGAAAACAATTTCAGACGTCCACTGAGGCCCCTTCTACACTGCTTTGTAATCCAGGTTCTCAAAATGGATAATCCACATTATCAGCTTTGAACTAGATTATGGCCCTTTCCACATAGTTGTATAAAACCCACATTTAACTGGACTATATGGCAGTGTGGACTCATGTAATCCAGTTCAAAGCAGATTTTGTGGATTATCTGCCTTGATATTCTGGGTTATATGGCGGGGGCTTGGTCACCTAATTCAGAATTGACTTGCAGGCATTTAACAACAGTAAAGAGAGAGAGTGAGGAATAAAACATGAGCCAAAGGGGATATTAAAAATAGGGATGTGATATTAATAAAAGAATATTTAAATAGCACGACACCTGCGGCTTCAGTGGCATAACATCTATTATATAACTAAAGGCATAAACCTAGAGTTATTTGTGGAATTAGATTATTTGTTTGTGATACATAGATGATGATGCAGAGTAGCACTAGCTCACAGGAATGATACATGGGAGATAATATTAGAAATCTTCATATACAAAGTGTGTACTTTGTTGACAAAACAGTATTAAGAATATTAATAAATCTACTTTTTTTAATCGTGTCAGAAGCAACTTGAGAACATCCTGCAAGTCACTTCTGGTGTGAGAGAATTGGCTGTCTTCAAAGCTATTGCTCAGAGGACGGCTGGATGTGTTACTGGGATGCTTCTCTCATGGCCCCCAAGCTAGAGCTGACAGACGAGAGCTTACCCCGTCTCACGGATTTGAACCAGCAACATTCAGGTCAGCAACCTAACCTTCAGGTCAGCAGTTCGGCCAGCACAAGGGTTTAACCCATTGCTCCACCGCAGCTCTATAAATCTACTGTTAGGCTGTGTCTTTGTTGGGATGAACTAAAATGCCACGAACGTGTGCAAACTTTATCCACAATTTTACAGTAGGCTGGGTGGGACAAAAATTAAAAGGGGAGTGAGTGAAAAAACAAAAATGCAGGAACTTTCAAAAAGTTGATCTGATCATGACCATGAAATTGCTCGTTAATTTAGTTCCTAGATGGAAATTACAGACACAAAGTAATGGTAGATGTGCAGGTATCAAACTGTCACAAGAAATGCCTCCTGGCAAGAAAAAAACAGTAACCATTCTTCCTTTTTGGAAAATGCAAAAGGATATTGCAATCTGAAGATCTATTCCTTGGATGAAACACACAAATTATGGATGATGTGTGTGTGGGTTACTTCAAATTGCCTGTTGACGTATTACAACACCACGAATTTCAAAAGGTTTTCTTAGGCAAAGACTACTTAGAGGTGGTTTTGCCAGTTCCTTCCTTCGAAATAGAGCCTACAGCACCAGGCATTCACTGGTGATCTCTCATCAAAGAACCTGCTTAACTTCCAAGATCAGATGGGATTTGGTGCTTCCAAATGGAAAACGGAAACTATACCTTCATAGCTAATCATTTCCAAGTTTGGCAGTAATTGTTTTTCCTATGATTTCTGTTGGGTTTCATCCCTGGACCTCACAAATCTCCAGTTCTCAATGAGTAGCTAGATTTAGCTATAGGGTTAGAGTGAGGGATTCCTTCCCCTACATTCTTACGTGTACTTCTCTCAGAAGGAGCTTTGTCTTTACTCTTCTTGCTTGGCACTATCTCCTCTCCCTTTGAAGATGTAACAATGCAATCTCTGTGAGGGATGAGGTAACTTCCTCTTTCAAAGTATTTTGATTGTCCAGGCTTGGCCATGTGGTGATTCCCCATTGCCCTCTCTCTACCTTTGTCTTCCTTTCAGTTAGGCCGCATTTTGCCTTTATTTATGCAAAATGTTGCTGCCTGGATACTTTTGATATTTTATCCTTTTATCTTCCTTAGAAAATGAGCTTAGTAAGCTACCTTTTCTACCTAGAATGTATTTCTCTTCTTGAATAAATATTTTGAGCCTGAAGTTCTTTCTCTGCAATCCTGTACCATCCTGTTGAATGGAAGCTAACCCTGACTCAACACACGTAAGGTTCTGCTGGTTATGAAATCTGCTTATAGCACTCTGCTATATGGTAGCATCACCCCAAGTGAGGGTTATTTTTGAGTCTAGCAACTCTGATTCCCAACAATTACAATTCCTTTTATTTGGATTCATTGAGGAAGAGTTGTCCATTATTCTAATAATGCAACATATTCTCACACTAGTCTCCTCCCCATCAAGTCCAGATTGCTAGGAAATGTCAATGGAAACTTCGAAACGATTACTTTATGCCGTCATTACTGAGGGTGAAGCAATATCTGAAGGAAATTGAATTTTTATCTCTCTGGTGACAAAACAAGTCCATAATGATGTCTGAAAACTTGTGCATGATAGCATCTAGATTTTTTTTAACAAAAATTGAATGTTTGTCTTGTTGATTTATTAATGAAGTCAAAACCAGCTTTGGGTAATTTAAGAACCTGTGATGACAGGGGTTATGCGTTTGG